TGCATTCCATAAAGTTGTATTATCCATCTCATATATTCCGTAAGAATATATCAAGAAATATTAAGTTAATATTTACTATCTTAAATAGATAAGATATGGTTAATATTTACTATATTACAAATTAACCATATGTCATAAGATACAATTTCCATATTTAAATAACTTGAACACAAAGCTATCAAAAGGAATTCAAAGGGGTGGGACGTCCCACCATGTGGGCTCCCACCCACATGCCACATGGTGGGACCATATGCACTATGGGCCCCCATGGAATTTTATAAATATTTTTTAAAATTAAATAAAACAATTTAATATATATTTGAATTTTTATAACTTTGTAAAATCAATAACTATATTTTTATAAGTCCAAAAATCATAAATAAAATATTGAGAGATTCATAAAAATTCAAATAATAAAACTAAAATCATTTCAATAATACAATGAAGACAATTAAATTAATATGATGGGAAAATGATCCATATGGTTTTAGGAATTCAAACTGTAATTATAGGGTACTCCACCTTCAACTGTGGACTACAGACCACACTTACTTTATCGAACAGACCCAGTGATTGCCATGACCCACAGTCCAAGTAGGGGCTCATTAGTGGGGTCACCAAAGTCTCCTTGATGAGTTAGGGAGTTGCAATCCCAATCTGTGGATTACAGGTCCTCCCCTAAAGACGAGTTAAGGTCACCACGACCTGATGCCACCACAGCTCTATGGTGCATAGGGGTATCTCTCGAACATACATATGCTTCACCCAAAAGGTGGATAACTAGCTTTCTCGAACGATCAATTTATATGCATGCCATGTGATCGAACATGGATGAGGTTTTGGCCCCCATCTCTGTAGGCCTGTCATCACACACAATCCCTCGCTCACTCATCCAGGCATAAGCTCCGACCTCATCAAGGGCTAACCCAAAACCCTTCCCAGTTTATTTTTTATGCCCAGGTTCCTTGGGTTTTCCAACCGACTAGCCTAGATCATCAAACACAGTCTGCTATCAGCAAACATCATTTGCTTAGCATGGTCTTCGAGGGACCACACTCCCATTAAGTTTATGTTCCACTATAATAAATGTTTTCACTACACACTCATAAGGCCTTTAAAGGCCACATAAACCCAACAAAAAGTGCATATCCCTCCATCCTCCTCTAGCACTTCACAAATAAGATCAATGGATGTTAAAAACTCACTTGAGCTCCTCGTATTTGCATCCACCATAGTACATTTGTCAAGTGCAAATGATGGGTTCGCAGCAGACTTAGTGGTAAAGAATTCCATTAAGCCCTCTATGTCCAATCCACTCGACTGTGATTTTCTTCGATTTCTATAGGTTTCATTCTTGCAATATCGGCCAATGAAATTGAGATTTCTTCTCCCTCCAGCTATCACAAGCATAATCTTAGAGGTTCCCAAACCACAAGAATCATAGATATGGATTACCTCTCTTATGGCATCTAGAATTTTGCGATGTGACCAGAGGAGATGGGTTTTGTATGGCGAAGTCAGTACGTGACAATGCTCCTTCTCATGGTTTGCAATAAACCATAGTCCATAATCATCATTTTGTATTCTTAGCATAGTTTTCCACCCCGACCTTGAAGGGGCTGAGACTGATTACGCTCGTGTTTCTTATCCCGATGACCGGCTTTACAACTCATGTATTCACGAGTGGTAACTATACCATCTTTTGATCGCTTTGTTGAATAACAATGAACACTAAAACCCTTTTGTTTTGCAATATAGAAATTATATACAACTTCATGGGACTCAAACCACATACCCTCTCAGGGCTCCTCTCCACTAGGTTCAAATCTTAGGGGATCCACCAAAATAACCTCACTCGGTTCAACCATGTCAAGCTCACTTGCCTCCACCACATTAGACACACTAGGTCCAACAAATTAGGCTCACTTTCCTTCCGGCCTACATCAACCTCACTACTAATTTCATTGTCACCTAAAATAACATCTAGAAATTCACCATTATTGCAAAATCCATCCATCCCATAATCCTCAATTGTAGGGCTTCCAATCTTTTTAGAATGTCTCCATCTCACGATCACCCAATTACTCCCCATCTCAATGTCAGCTGTCAACCTCGAGTTAAAGCCCATGTCTAACTTGGTGTCCATTCTATTTAGTGCCTCCTAAAGAGGATATTTCAATTTCAATTTCAATTTTATCAATAACTAATACAAGAACGCACAATCATATAATAAGTAGCACAAAATATCATGAAATTGCATTTATCAACCAATCAATAGCACCCAAAACATATAATAGAACCCAAACACCCAAAACATGTAATTGTATTTACCAACCAATCAGTAGCATAAAACACATATAATGGAACCCAAACACCCATAACATGTAATTGTATTTATCAACCAATCAGTAGCATAAAACATCGTGAAATTCTCTTAAGAATGGAGCAAGAGTGCCCATATCTTGAAACAATGAAATAAATATGCCACAAAGATTACAAAATATGCCTAAAAAATTGGGATCAAGGAGAAAAGAGAGGGAAAACAAAACATTTGGGTGAGAGAGGGAGACCGGGGCGGCCGGTAATGTTCTGCTGCCTCGATGACAGGGTCCCCACATACACCGTCCAATTATACGAACGATGTAGATCTTTGTGCCCGCATAGTAGCAGATGCGGGTTTGGGCGTATGAAATAATTTTCCATATATATATATATATATATATCTGAAAAATTCTTCCCAATGCCTATAAGAAAAAATGAACAGTGATTTTGCCTATGCTCATCATCTTCCAAAGTTCACCGTACAGTCACGATTGTCCGATAGTGTTTCTATTTTTATTTTTATTTTGATAAATTAAACTTATCTGAAATTTGGAGCGTGTATACATCTTAGTGAGACACACCTAATAAAAATATGAAAAAAATATGTCGCAAAATATAAATTGATCAAAATACCTCTATAAATTTTCAAGGGTATTTTGGTAGATTTATATTTTTCAAATTATTTTGTTTATATTTTTATTAGATTCTCCTATTTTTTATGAACATACGCTCTCAATTTCAGATCATTCCGATTTTAAAAAAAATAATAAAATTTTGAAACACTACCGGACAACTGTGACCATGCGATGAACTTTGGACGGTGATGAGCATAGGCGAAATCACTGTTCATTTTCGCCTATAGGCAGTGCATAGTATTTATATATATATATATATATATATATATATGTCGTGCTGGTCCTGCCTAAGCAGGGTCCCAAGAGTGGGCTAGAAACGGTCCTAACCTTGCTTATGCACAAAGTGGTCATTCTCAGGATTCAAACCCACGCTCTTGTACTACCTACCTGAGCCTTTTACCGTCACACGAAGTGATGGCCGCTATCTATCTATCTACACACACACACACACACACACACACACACACACACACACACAC